GAATTGTTGGCGAACCTGGGCTAGACGTGCGGGAGACGCGAGCCCTTCCGTGAGCAGGGTCCTCTACCTGCCCTAGCTCAAGGCTTGCACGCTCTTGGAGGAGGTGGGTGGAGCCAAGGTGTGGCTCACCCTCTTCCTGTACCCCACTGTCCGGTGTTGTGTTCTGGGGGTTTGGAAGATGGGCAAAGTCAAGTGACTTTCGAGATTTGGAGCCCCGGTTAGACACTTTTTTTTTTTTTTTAAGTTTCACTATGTAACCCTGGCTAGTCTGGAACTCTCTTTGTAGAGCAGCCAGGCACATCGACCATATCCCAACAGTTGGAGTAGGACGTAGGTCCCTTTCCAGATAGGGCAGACTACCGAGGAAGAACTCATGGATCGAACACGTGGGTGGGTCATCTTGTTTGCGGATAGTTAGTTTTCTAATATCCTTTGTACATCATAACATTTCTTACAAGGAGATAGGGAGGGAGAGGGAAGGAGGGAGAGAGAGAGAGAGCTGTTGTCTTCCTTTGTGTAGACAGTAAATAGAGGCTCTGAAGAAGTGACTTGGCCAGCATTCCTCAGGAGTAAGCGACTGAATTGGTGATGTTTACTGCTTGTTGTAGGATGCATTAGGAAGATTTGGCCATGGGCTACAAACATGTTGGTCACAGCAGAGTTAAATGGGGAGACATTTTGGCCTCTTGTTTTTCAGTTTAAGTAGTTGTGAGTGCACTGGAGAGGTGGTGCCTCCCAAGTTTGTAATGGCAGTCACACCCATAAAAGGACTTTCAAACACCCCTTTATTTAGAGACCATTTTCCTTGGTTTTTCTTGCCTTGCATTCAGACACTCTGATTAGTATTTTTTTTCCTTTGTACTTATCCAGGGTTTCATTACTAGATTGACTTGTTAAACTTCCGCCAAAAAAAATGGGTAGAGCTCTAGGCTTTAGATCTTCGAAGCGGTCTGTACTTAAGGTGAGTTTCATTTAATTTAGTGCAAGGATTGCTGGTCATGCCAGGTGTTGGTGGCGCACGCCTTTAATCCCAGCACTTGGGAGGCAGAGGCAGGTGGATCTCTGTGAGTTCGAGACAAGCCTGGTCTACAAGAGCTAGTTCCAGGACAGCCTCCAAAGCCACAGAGAAACCCCGTGGCAAAAAAAAAAAAAAAAAAAAAAAAAAAAAAAAAAAAAAAAAAGGATTGCTGGTCATATGCCCAATTTAGCATTCATATCAGCTTAAAGCACTTGAGGCACTAAAGTGGTGGTAGCTATCCTCAGCCACAGTTTCTCTACTACTGCCAACAAAATGCAAACAGGCACTACCTGTTTTTCCAGACTCTTGGATTGTCTTTTCAACAAAGTCGCTTATGTAAATAGCACTTACATTTTTAAGTAGCTTCTTAATACCAAAGTGGATAGATCCACCATGAGTGTCAGTAAACCAATTAAAATTTGATCCAGTAGTGTAAAGTGTTGGGAAATCTAATGGATCTTCCTCCAGCCTTTTGCCAACAGAGCTCTCTGTCTTGATGTAAAAGTGACTGAATGTCAATGTATTCAAGTTATCCTAATGTGCCCTATTGTGGAACAGATTTATAGTCACGGAACAAAAGACAGAAAGCAACACATTCTTCAGTGACAGCAAAGCAGGAGAACTGTGTTGGTCTCAGATGTCATCTTGTAGTCTTGGCATCCTCTCCTTTTTTAGTGTAGACTTATAGTTTGCTGTCTGTTCCTGTGGTAAACACCACAACCAAAATCAACTTGTGGAGGAAAGGGTTTACTCTAGCTTCTGCTTCCAAGTCACAGTCATCTCTAAGGGAAGTCATGAAGGAAGTCGACACAGGAGCTAAAGCAGAGCTCATGGAGGAATGTGGGTCACTGATTCTGTTGACTTTCTTATACCACCCAGTACCACCTGCAATGGGAGGGGCACTGCTTCCAGTGAGCTAGGCCTCCTACATCAATCAGAATTCAAGACAGTGTCCCCACAGACATGGCCACAGGCTAATCTGATCTGTGTTGTCCTGCAGTTGAGGCTCCCTCTTCCCAGGTGACTCTTGGTTGTGTTAAGCTGATCATAAAAACTAAGCATGGCAGTAGGTCTGTGGACTTAGTGATCCCATGTGGGAAGTTTGCTTAATGCTAGAGTGTTAGGCCACGCAAAAGTTAAAGTAAGTAAATACTAAAGTCCCTAAAATAGCCTGGGATAATTTGGCCCTTGTCTTAACAGCTTTTTATCTCTACACAATTGAGGTGTTCTAATCAGCTCACCAGACAGTGTAGGAGCATAGTGTGGTGGATACAGCTGTTTCAGAGGACTGTGGCAGGGGTCAGTGGCTAGAGTTAGGCAAGCGGGGCAGAGTGCTGGTTCTTGGTTGGGACTGTTTATTTATTTATTTGTCTGTTTGTTTTTGTTTCGAGTGCATTGGTGTGCTGCCTACATATATATCTGTGTGAGGGTGTTGGATCCCCTAGAACTGGAGTTACAGATAGTTGTGAACTGCCATTTGGGTGCTAGGAATTGAACCCAGGTCCTCTGAAAGAACAGTATGTGCTCCTAACCACTGAGCCATCCCTCCAGCCCCACGGTTTGGATTTTAGTTGGCATTCATACAGTTCTAGTTAAAAACAGAACATGCTGTGCTTCATGACAGATTTTTCTTTTCCCTCCCAAATGATTTTAGAGAACATTTGAGAAAGATTTGACTCTTTTGGTTAATCAAGTGAATAATTTGGCTAAAGAACAAGTTATTTTGCCTTTAAGTGTCAGCATTTTGGTAAATGATTGGAGATAAAAGATTGGAGAAAGGTAAAGGACACACAGAATTATTCTCAGAGCAGCACCCTCCCTGAGTACAGAGCGGGAGATTCCACTTGGGGAGAATGTTCCTGTGAGAAATGGCTTTAGGGGCTGGTGCATCCTTGTTACTTTTCTGAGCATGCTCAGTTTTAGGTTACTATTGAAAAAAGGAAAGATGCTAGACACATTTCTGGGCTGCTTAGTTCAAGGTAGGCGAGTCCATGTTGAGGGGGTGAAGATGAGAGATATAAACTCTTCTTGCCGTGCTCAGTTTGGGTCATAAAGCTCATGGACATAAATATTTTAGGGTTCTGTGGAGTATACCCACATTTCCCTGCAGCTGATCTGTTGTAATGAAGACAAAACGCATCTACAGGAAGCTTGTCAAGAAAGGCCAATTAAAATGGAGGTAATGAGACGCAGCTCAACAAGGAGCAATTGCTCCACAATACCACCTTGAGCCTGATCTGAGATGTGCTGTATTTAGAGCCTTCCTACGTAGTTCACATCTGACTGAGCATTGAGATGCAGTTGGGAATAATAGGACTGATCCGTCAGACGACTACTGTGCAGGATTGCAAACTGGAGCTTGCTTTCCAGGTGTGAAGAAAAAGAAAGCCCTCATAAGCTTTAAAGGTTAGGGTTGAAATGAAAGAAGACAGTGTGTTAAGTGGTGATCCATAATTTTAGGCTGATCTAACTGTGGAAGAGGAAGTGCACCCCCCTACTCCAGGTCTGGTACATGACAGAAAGTTTGGCATGCATTGTGCTGCTGTTATGCTGACCATTGTTAGTTACTCCGAGAGCTGAGGGTGAAACCTCCAGATAAAGTCGAATTTATGTGGGCAGCTCTGGCAAGCATGTTGTATAGTGGGTTACTCTTAAGTCTCTAATGACTTCCTTTTTCTCTTTTTCAGTTTTACAGAGAGCATTCTCCCTCCATACAGCACATTCCACAAAGGACATGGAGAATTTTTTTCAGTTGGTGAGAAACATTGTGCCTGCTCTGACCTCGAAGAAACACAAAGGGCAAGACGGAAGAATAGGCATAGTCGGGGGCTGTCAAGAGTGAGTGCTGCTGTAAGGCAGTCATGTTTAGAAAAACCTTCCCTCCTGCCTGTCTATCTACATCTGCCGTCTATCTGTGCACCTTTCTTTCCCCCATCAGTCTGTCCGTCCATGTGTCCATCCGTCCATATATCCATGTGCAGTGATCATTTGCAAATGCAGTCTGATAGGATGCAAAGCCTGGTCCAAAGAGGCTAGTTCCAGGATAGCTAGGGCTGTCACTTTGCACTGTGCTCACTCAAACCATCTGCTCTAGAAACTGCTGTTTCTCTAGGGTAGGTCTGGGTGTGTGGATTTTGGTTCTGGAATGATCCCTTAATCTAGCTTAAGACTCTCCTCATCTGTTGGCCTCTGTTACCATCTCAACTGTCTTCTCTCCCTGGTGGCTTCTATGTGCTGTGTGGAGGACTGTGAGCTCCTGTCGTTCTGAGCAGCCCCTGTCCACTCTGCAGTGTCTTGTGAAGCACCTCTGTGGGAAAGTGAGAGCATGTATGGTGTCTGTTGGTCCTTTCTCTGGTGATTTGGACACACTTCGTTGACACTGTTGTAGAAGAGCAGGTCACATGTGGAGAAGGTGCCCGGGTTCTATGTGCTCAGCAGTTGTCCCTGGTTTGTTTCATGGGGTCGGAGGTCACAGATAATGACACATCCCAGTGGCATAAGCACAGTGACTCTGTATGTGGACACTATTCCAGGCATGTCTGCTGTGCCTAGAGGTTGTCACGGGCGTCAGAGCAAAGACAGGAAGCAGGGAATCACACAGCAGGGTACAGGGGCTGCTGTGGCTCCCAGTGACCCTGTGTGGCTTCTGCTGGTGTTACTCCTAGAGTCGGGGTTCTCCTCTGAGGACCTGGTCTCTGCTGACTGCCTTGACCTTCTCCCTGACAGAAGCCTGCAGCTCTCTAGCTCACCTTATACCTGGTACAGAGTCACATAAGCCAGTGTTGGAAAATGATCACAGGAATCATGTGAAGCTTTTCTAGTTCTGACTCGTGGGTGAACGTTTACTAAGCATCTCCTAGGTGTTGAGTTTGTGTTTGGGGCCTGGAGTCTGTATCACGTGATAATTCATACCTATTTACATATTATTCTTATCTGTTAGTATTGGTGACCTATTGTTGGCAGACTGTGTGTTTGCTTTACTGAAGTCTTGACTCCAGTGTTTCTGTTTTAGGTACACAGGAGCACCATATTTTGCAGGAATCTCAGCTCTGAAAGTGGTAGGTTTACCTCAGAGTTTTTTATTGGGTTTCTCTGATTGAAAGTTGGGTTATTTAGGGAACTGGCTCTATGTGTTGTAAGAACACTTGAAATACAACTCATGAGCCTAAGTTCACATTCCAAGCACCCACAAAAAGACTGGCATGGCCATATGTTCCTATAACCTCAGCACTGTGAGGGCAGAGACAGGAGGCTCCCGGAGGTTTCTTGACCACCAGCCTAGCTTCAGGTTCAATGAGAGATCTTGTCTGAGGGGAATTTACCTTTTAGAACAGAACATGACAGCTTTAGGCACTGTGAGCCCACTCACAGTAGAACTTGACACCTGTGGCACTGTGTGGCCACTCAAAGCTGAGGTATGACTTGTACTTCACTAAGAGGATCCTAGGAGGCCTCTTTCAGGTTGTGCTGTAAGCAGCTGAACCCAGCTAAGCAGTTAGTATAAAGTGGCTAGGTTGGGTAGGCTGAACTGGACCAGGCAGAGTGGATGTCATAGTTTGGCCCCCAGGTCTGGGAAGGAAGAGAATTCTGGCTGTGTTTCCAAGCATTTTCTTATGCCAGTTACTTTTCCTCAAAGCCACTGGCTTCTACTTTAATCTGTATTTGGCCTTGAGGGCATAAAAACTCAGTAACAGAGGTGTCAGACATATGTCATGGTGAGGAAGCTGAAGTGCATAGCTACTTGTGGTCCCGTTGAGCATGGTCTTCTCTAAACCCACCTGTGATTTCATTTCTCAGGGTGCAGATTTGACCCATGTGTTCTGTGCCAGGGAGGCTGCACCAGTGATCAAATCCTACAGCCCAGAACTGATCGTCCACCCAGTCCTGTGAGTGTGCACTGTGGGTGTCTTTGTCTGCAGCAGTGTTTTCACACTCGTGTGTCTGCTGTGCCCTGGTGCTACATGGATAAGAAAAGTATAATGAAGCTAGGCTTGTGGCACACACCTTTCACCCCAGCTAGGGCTCAGGCCAGAGGCTTTGGAATTGGAGGCAGGCTTGGACAACTAACAACCCTATCAAATAAAACTTAAGTTTAGGATGTAGCTCATGAAGTTGGACGTTTGATCCCCAGTACCGTAAAGAAGAAATTGAGAGCGAGCCCATCATTCTGTGTCAGCATAAGGCAGTGAGGACCAGAGGAGAACCTGGGACAGCAGAGTGGCAGGTGCTGTGTTGTGTTGTGTGTCGAGGAGTGTTGCCTGGGGTACATACTCACAATGCTTGAGCTCCGGGTGATTCAGCTGGTAGCTCTGAGCTGAGTGGAGCTGTTCCAAGGGCTCCTCAGAGCTTTAGTGATGATAGACAGGGCCCACATGTTGCCCTGGCATTGCCCCCAAGCACCAAACTCAGCTGGAGGATCTCAGGACAGGATCACTCTTTTTGTCCCACTTTACCCACAATAAAAATAAAATGGGGCTGAAGAGGTGACTGAGCAGTTGACAGCACTGACTGCTCTTGCAGAGGACCCAGGTTATATTCCAAGCACCCACAGGCAGCTCACAACCATCTGTAACCTTAGTTTGAAGGGATTTGATGCCCTCTTCTGACCTCTGCAGGTATTAGGTACTCATGTGGTGCACAGACATACATGCAGGCAAAAGCAGTCTTTAAAAGCTAAGATAAGCTGGGTGCGATGGCACATGCCTTTAATCCCATCACTTGGAGTCACAGGCAGGTGCATATCTGAGTCTACAAAGCGAATTCCAGGATAGCCAGGACTACACAGAGATTGAAAACCCCCCAAAATAAAAAGTAAATCAGTCCATGGAGAAGACTGAGAAAATGCAAAGGTCAGGTGCAGGGTGGGGTCCAGACTTCATCCTGAGACAGGGACAGGATGGGGCTTTGGCCCTGCACTTAATCACTGAGCCAGCCTTAACTTAGGATATTGCATATGTAAAATGCTCACATGCGCAGTAGCTAGGGAAAGGAGTCTGTGGGAACTTTCGTACTTTTGTACAGGTTCACCACAAACCTAAATTATTTTCAAACAAAATGGTTTGGAGCTTAGACATAGACTAAGCAGTTAGTATAAAGTGGCTAGGTTGGGTAGGCTGAACTAGACCAGGCAGAGTTGATGTCATGGTTTGGCACTTGTGTAGGGCACTTCCCTGGCATGTTCAGGGTCCTGGGTTCTGTCCCCAGCAAAACACACACACACACACACACACGTTTAAAATAAGCAAATGAAAGCCTGAGACCATTCTGCCTTTTTCCTTTTTTAGTGACAGTTCTAATGCTGTTGAGGAGGTGGAGAAATGGCTCCCCAGGCTGCATGCCCTTGTCGTGGGACCTGGCCTAGGTAGGGACGACCTTATTCTCAACAACGTCAGGGTAAGTGCTGTCCTTGCTAAGCACACTGCCTCTCAGATAGAATATTGGCGCACAAGCGTTGGACCTCGCCTTGAAAGTGGATGAAGCTGTGTTACGAAGGGGGGGGGGGGGGGGGAGTAAGGCCACCAGCAGCAAACGGTGAGGGGATTCCAGAGCAATGCAGACTGGACCTCAGAACTGATTCCAGGGTTTCACATGAAACCTGGTGTGAGGTCTCTGTCTCTGCAGCTCCCCATTACAGAAGTTTCCCGAGAGGAGTTGAATCGTGTTCTGATGTGTGAACAGGCAGTATGTTGTTGTACTTATAGTTCTTATTGCAGTGTCAGGCTTTTCCTCCTTAATTGACCCTCCAGTGGTGCATCTGGGCCTCTGGGCTGTAGCCTGGACTGTCCCTGTTTCAGGGCCAGCCTCTTGGTTTGCAGAAGAGGCTGGGACAGGGGAGCATGGCTGACCCTGTAGATGAAGCCTCAGGAATGCTGCATTTACCAGGATAAATGCATGTGCTGTCATGCCTGTGAGTAATATTTTAAATGTTCACATACACACACATCTTCATGGGACTCTGCTCCTGGGTGCTGGAACTCATCCTTCTGAGAGAAACACGGCTTGTGCTGTAACAAACCTTTCCAGTGTTTAAGCCATAGCTTTGGGCTGCTACTCTGGTTTATCAGGGAAAACTAGAAGAGACTGTCACACTGTCAAATAGCATGAAATCAGAAATGAGTCTAAGATCTGTATGGCAGAACCCTGTGGGTCAACAGTAAAGCCGGAGTCACAGCCAACAGGCCTGAGATTTGTCAAGAGAGGAAATGGGCTTCTCTAAGGCTCTTATGCCCTGCTCTTGCTTAGGAGGCTTTTGTGCTCACACTGGTGGGCCGATGCCTTACAAAATATGTACTTTCTATACTGGCAGATTCCTCAGTATGCTGATAGTTCTATGTCAGCTTGATACAAGCTAGAGTCATCAGAGAGGAGGGAGTCTGAATTGAGATATTACCTCCATAAGATCAGGCTGTGCACAAGCCTGTAGGGCATTTTCTTAATTAGTGACAGATGGGGGAGGGCCAAGCCCATTGGGTGGTGCTATCCCTGGGCTGGTGGTCCAGGTTCTGCAAGAAGGTAGCCTGAGCAAGCTAGTAAGTAGCACTTCCATGGCCTCTGCATCAGCTCCTACCTCCAGGTTCCTGTCCAGTTTGAGTTCCCACCCTGGTTTCCTTCAGTGATGGACTATAATGTGGAAGTGTAAGCCAAATAAATAAACCCTTTCCTCCCCAAGTTGCTTTTGTTCACTGTGTTTCCTATGGCAACAGTCACCCTGACTAGGACACTCAGGAGATGAGGACTGAGAGTCAGACTCCCGTTACATTTACTTGGTCTCCTTGTTTTCGACTTGCTTGCCCATCACTTTTTTCTTTTAATCTTAAAAATGGTTTTGTGTGCACATGCTGCATGTAGCATGTCACAGCATGTGGGTAGAGGTCAGAGGTCAGCTTCTAGGAGTCAATTCTCCTACCACCCTGTAGGTTAGGCTTGGCAACTTTACTGTGAGGCATTTCATCAGCCCATCTGATTGTCATGTATAGTTTTCTCATAATGTGTTAGGTGGTAGATAATTAACAACTGTATGTTGGTTACATATATGTCTGTACTTTTTTTTTAATGTGCATTGGTGTTTTGCCTGCATGAGGGTGTTGGGTCCCTGGAACTGGAGCTACAGACAGACGTGAACTGCTATGTGGGTGCTGGGAACTGAACCTGGATCCTCTGGAAGAACAGCTGGTGCTATTAACTGCTTAGCCACCTCTCCAGCCCCTTATCTACTTTTTAAATGGGAAACCTTTGAGGCTTTCAGTATAGGATTGAGGTTTAGTCTTGTCAGGGAAAATGGTTCATCAGTATTATGATCACTGCTATTTAAAAGCATGTAAATAAAATGGTAAGAAAAATGGATAACTGTTGATTTGGAGAATTCCCAAAAACTCAGACGTCAAGTACTGAAGTGTAACATGAGCTAGTGTACCATTTGGCAATGGTAGCTGGGTCTTCATGGACTAGCCTAGGAGCCACATGCTGCGTCTGCCCTGCTGTTGTATAATTGGCTGTACTGTCCGCTTGCTTGTGACTGCAGAAGTACTGCCAATTCCTTCCTCCTCCTGAGGAGATGTACTTGTCTGTGGGAGGGTCCCCTGCAGGCTTTACAGCAGCCAGGAACTACCGGGGTGAGGGAGGAAGGAAACTCGGAGCAGCCCAATTGTGGGAAGCGGTGCTGGGCCAAGACTCTTGGAAAAAGTATTCAGATAACAATTAACTCACTCCCAAGTGCACAACAATTTAAGAAATGTTTACACTGAGATTCTTTACAAAGTCCTTCTGGCTTTTTTCACAAAAGTGGGTACTATTGACTCGGAGATAGTGCCCAAGACTTAGGGTCTAGGGAGCTTGACGGAGGTAAACAATGCCTGTGGGTGTCAGGATTGGCCTGACCCTAAAATAGCATAGAAGTCACTCAGGCTGTTGTGAAGTATAAGTGACATCACTCATCAGGATGGGTTTTATGGTCTGGAAGCAATGCTCAAGATTTAAGGGATCTAGGATAGTAAAGGGTCTAGGATAAGTAAAATATAAATCCTGGGAGACATGAGCAGAGCCTGTCTCAGATAGCAAAAGATCACCAAGTTGTAAAACTACACCCATTCCTGACATCCCAGGGGGAACAATTAAACACCTCCTTCTGTTGAGGAGATGAGCTGTGCATTTAACTTCCCTGGCTTCTCCAGTGCTTAGCTGTGTGCACAGGGCCTTTTTACAAAAACCTCTACATTGTTTGCTTTCTGGCAGGGCATTTTGGAAGCAACCAAGGCCAGGGACATCCCTGTTGTCATCGATGCGGTGAGTGTGGCCTCTCATCTCCCCACACAGTCAGCACAGGGTCTCTGAGGCCCACCGGTGAAGGTGCATCCTTGTTCTGCACAGGACGGCCTGTGGCTGATAGCTCAGCAGCCGGCCCTCATCCACGGTTATCAGAAGGCCATTCTCACCCCCAACCGTGTGGAATTCAGCAGGCTCTGGGAAGCTGTGGTGAGTTTATGCAGATCCCTAGATGTTTGCCCTGGGCTCTACCATACATGCTTTTCGTGCCTCCCATGGTTCCCATATAAATTTTATTGGATGAATGGTGGTGTGATAGGCTTGAGTGACTGCCTGCTGTACTCACAGGCCAAGTCACTGCCTGTCCTGAAGTGCTAGTGTGTAAACCTACAGCCTCTGTTCCACGGGATGTGGGGGCATAATGAAATAAAATGTAGCCGTGAATCTTGATGGCACGTGTCCCACAAGCCTGCGCCCTGTGGGGGAGGGGCATGCACATCATCATCATCCAGGTTTGTGTTGTTTCTGCAAACCTGGTCAAGCCAGGAAGAGGAGGACAAGCTCTAGAGTAAATGTTGGTGTCAGCATCCCTTGGAGGGCTTGGTACCAGTGATGTCCTGGCCACTTCCTCCCCTCTTACTTCTCAGCCCTTAACCAGGGCTTGATTTCTGTGTGTCCCGCGCAATCGCCTCGCCAGCAAGAACGACACAGGACATTTGGATCCTTCTGCAGTAAAGCTTTAATGCGTCTTGAGAGGAGAGCATAAGCTTACCAGAGCGGAGACCCCGAGCCAAGAATCCCATCCCCTAATAAAGGCTGGCAGCCGCCGCCTGGGACGTGTCACCCTATGATTGGCTGTAGCTCATCAGGCCATATGACGCCACGGAATAGGCAGAGATCAAGGAATGGAAAATTACCCAGCGCCTGCGCAATAATCTTGTTTACATTCGGTGCCTGCCGGATGCAGGCGCCATCTTGTAATGGAGAATGCAGGGACGGCTCCCTACATCTGTGGACATGAGCATCTGAGACTTGATGGACAGGATAGTTACCTTGCCACCAGTGAACCCTGTATGATTTTCTGTGCTTGTCCTGTTGTAGCTCAATGATCCTATGGACACCCAGAATCACAGTGGATCTGTACTGAAGCTCAGCCAGGCCCTGGGGAACACCACAGTGGTCCAGAAAGGAGAGCATGACCTGATCTCTAATGGTCAGCATGGTGAGTGGGGACTTTGCATGTCACTCAGAGGCTTCACACTGTTGATATACATTTAACTTGCCAGCCACAGCCTCATTGGAGTCCTTCTGTTTGCTCCTAAAGGTTTGCACAGGCGGTGGTGACACACGGCATGTTTAGGCCTTCACAGGAGGCTTAGCAAGTGTCGGGAGACCTTGCAATTTGGCTGACTTGAAACCGTTTCCAACCAAGTGTGGCATACACTTGAGCATGCGAGCAAGCGTGCAGAAACACAGAAACAAAAAAACCATTTTCAGGAAGTAGGTTTGAAACAAAGATCCTGCATAGTCCTGGACTACCATCCCTAGCCTGTCACCTCCCTTTCACCAAGGCATCCACATAATAACAGAGTCATTTGAGTCTTTTGTTGGGTTTTGTCTTATTATAACTGGAAAGAGAAGGAAACCTCAGCACTGACATTAGTTGGAAATGTCAGTTGCCTTCCTGCAGGAGCTTAAGGGCTGCTCAGCCAAGAGCAGAGTGGAGGCAGGGAGGAGTGTGTGGGTGTTCCTAGTAAGTCTGCCACTCTGCTCTCTCAGAGATGGCCAGGCCACCATAAGATTGTTCAATACAAGTAGCTGTTAGTAAGACACAGAGTCATTGACAGGAATCTGAATTTAGAGACACATGGTCATGCATGTGAACCCACATGTACCCACCCACAGCCAGGACAGGCAATGCATGGAATGGTCTCAGGGCAGCCAGACCATAACGATGGCATGCTCAGGGCAGCCAGACCATAACGATGAGACACTCCTGATGCATCACACTCAAATGCAGCATGTTCTCAAAACTTGCCACGGAAACAGTTCCCTGTATGTGCACAGGCATATAATGGTTAAGGGGAGTAGCCCCGTGTGGTGCCCAGGAATGCTGCCAGTGGGACTTTGGAGGCATATTTTGAGATGGCATTTGGGCTGGGCTCAGGAACTTGTCATCTGTGGTCTGTGAGGTGGCGGTCTTCCCTGGAACAGGTGGGGAGGGGCAGCTCATGGTGTTGGTACTAATGCCTGCTCGTGTCTGTTCTGTGCAGTGCTTGTGTGCAGCCAGGAAGGCAGCGGCCGCAGGTGTGGGGGGCAAGGAGACCTCCTGTCGGGCTCCCTGGGTGTCATGGTGCACTGGGCCCTCCTTGCTGGACCACAGAAAACGCATGGGTATGTCACACCTCGTTTGTGCTGCTCTGATTGTCAGTCTTGTCAGCTCTCCAGCAGCTCATGTGTCAATTCCTTTAGTATCCCAGCTGGACTGTCAGTGCTCTGGGGGAGACATCTGAGACCAAGCCTTACCTGTCCACAGGAGTTTCTACTCATACATACTAGACTCAAACTTTACAGTTGAGGGTGGGGCCCTGGCGCTGGGGAGGGGTTGGTTAAGGACACCATTGTGGGGAGTTCAGCAGTGGTTTCTATAAACTGAAAGTAGGGAGCACAGGTTGGAAGAATGGCCCTACTGGACACTGGTCCTCATAGGTGTGTGATTTCTGAGGCAGCAGGAAACTAGCTAAGCTCAGATTCCCACATGTGACCTGTTCTATGGACCATTATGGCCACCCATGCTAGGCATGTCATGTCCGGCCTCTGGAGCCCCACTTGACACTACTGCTGCAAACAGGGTGTTTCAGGTGGACTTAACTTGGCTCAGCTCTGCAGGGCAATGGTGCAGAGGGCAATGAAGTAGCAGGTCTGCATGCTGACCTCAGGCATTCTACCACATTCTGAGAAAACCAGTGAGCACCATTAAAGCCCACACCACTAGCAAGCTCCTCTCACACCAGGAAAAACTTCCCTCCACTGGGTTCCCGCCCATCTCCAGGGATGGGACCTGTGCTTCCTAGGCCTGTGCTCTGACACTGAGCCATACACCAGTCACAAATGAGGGTCTGGGGTACGCCAGGACTCAGCTGGTTAGAGCTTGCTGTTTGGGAGTTGAAGGTAGATTGGGAGTTGAAGGTAGAAATGGGATGAAAAGTTAGAGCCCAGGGCTCTTACCAGTGGCCTACAGTAAGGCCTTTGATTTCTCCTCTTGTCTCACAGCTCCAGCCCACTACTGGTGGCTGCCTGGGGTGCTTGCACACTCACAAGGGAGTGTAATCATCAGGCCTTCCAGAAGTACGGGCGCTCCACGACTACAACCGACATGATCGCCGAGGTAGGAACTGCCTTCAACAAGCTCTTCATGACCTGAGCCTGTGCACACTGAGGGGTGCCCCAGACTGTGTCTTCCACATGGGCCCCACCGCACCAGGTTAATGCTGGGTCTTAGCCTAAACTAGCTGGCAGAATTTAGGACATAATCGTCCATCCTGACTGAAATGAGTTGAGATGTTATGACACTAATCTGGTCTTGAGCCGTTTTCTTGGCTTCTCAGCAGTAGCTGAAGAGAAAATGAGAATAAAGATCTTTCCAGCAGCTCGCACTGAGATAGCACATTTGGAGTCTGTTCTTTGTTTCTTGTGCTCTTCTGTTACTAGACACCCCCCTCACGGGGCTCCAGTTTTTGGGTGGCTGGTGGGTTCAAGGTTTGTTTTTTAATTGAGGTTCATGGATCCTGTGGGCATTCTTCAGCATAGTTCTCTGCTCAGTGACTGGGTCTTAACTTGGTAAAGAAGTTCAGAATAGCCAGTGACCTTGAACCTGGAGATCTCTTAGAGGCTGGTGGGAAGGGCAGGGGATGTAGATGTCACTGGCACTTGGGCATGGCAGGGAGTGCCAAAATACCACTGGTTTAATTGTCACCTGTGTCTGTTTACCTGCCATTCACTGTGGCATTCTCTGCCTGCTGAGCCCCCCTTCCTAGAGTGGCCTGACAACTATATGCCTTGTTACTGGGGGTCTGCTCTTAGGCTACCCTTGGCTAACCATGTTCAAGAATGTCTCCTGAACAGCTGATATGAATTTACTGAAGGGATGTTGAGAATGTAGCCATCATGGTACTGCCAGAGTAACTAACTGTCCAGGCACTTTTGAGCATACACTAATGGACAACACAGGCTCACTTTATTGATGGCTAAACAGCCACAATTGGCAACTTTAATATAAAGTTTTTGTCACAAAAGAACAGGTGTCATGGTGTGGTAGCACGTGGAACCACAGCTGCCTAATCCTCAACTTGCAGGTTTCTGGTGTTTTGTCCTTGGATCCAGCAGTTCCCATGTGGAGGTTGTACTGCCTCTGTCCTGCAGGAGAAGGCTCTGAATAGGCGACACAGCCTCTCACTCAAGGTGACAAGTCAGAAAGTGAAGTCGGAGGCAGCAGTGGGATTCCAGAGGGGGGATAATACCGCAGGCCAGCTCCTTACCCACATGGTGGAATTTGGTGCTTCTTCCAATCTACACACCCTCCCTCTCATATCCCTCCACATCTGCCACCTCCCAGAAACTGGATGACTGGCCACTGTCTGTCCCTTTACTGTCTCTTGTGACACTGGTGTCCCCTGTGTTTGCAGTATTGCTAACCTTAACATTGATGCCGTGGGTGGCGAGGTCCTGGCGCAATGCATCACATGCCTCTAGCAAGGGCTGCCTCTCCTGGAGCTGCTGTCTCCGGGTCTCCCCAGTAGCCCCAGGTGTGGCCAGTGCATACTGGCGGACCTTCAGCCTGAAGCGCACGAGTTCATCTACCACAGAGTGCAGAGTTGCTGTGCCGCTGTCTCCTGAAACACACTGAGCCTCATTTAAATGAGATGCTGTTAAATGAGTATGCCATGCAAGGCAGGGTCTCCATCCATGGCCTGGGAGACCACACTCAGCCAGGTTCTGAGCTGAGACCTGCTCGGTCCATGTCCTTATCAGTTTCCTAATGCTGGCACTTTCTATGGAATCTTGGGGGTGGATGAGGCTAGCCAGCACCAGGACTGGCTATGAGAAAGACCTCATGCTTTTACTGGCTCAGTCTAAGATGTAACACCTACTTTGGTCCCATCTAGGCCTCAGCAACAACTTTAGGATGTAACAAGTATCAGCAGAATCCTGTCACCTCAGGAAAGTCTAGCAGCCTAAGCCTTAAGTATGAATGAAGACAGACCTTTTTGCCGTAGCCAGGCATGTAAGCAAATGTAGATGTCAAGTAGCCCACCCTGTGTGCATGTGTGCACATACTGAGCTCCCACGAAGTGATCTGTCCAGCTGTGCAAACACTGGCTAAGGGGCCCAAAGGCTGATCCCCTGTTAGAGCAAAAGGCAGAGTTGTCTGGAAGCCTTGGCAGGACTACCACTACTGGAGAGTAACAGAAGTGTGGCCTGGCTGCAGCCCAGGCTTTCGGTGCTGACACAAGACGAGTACATGTAGAATGCTTTGGGGGAATGGCTCTGAACCCTTGCCTTGTCCTTCCAGTATAGCCTTAAGCTGGCAGATACAGCAGAGTGAAGTGAGTGAGGAGGAAAGCACCCACAGTGATGTCCGTACATGGGGCCACCTACAGAGAAGAGCTGACCTGTGTGTGCAGCTCCTGGGGGTGCACTGCGAAAACAGGGTACACTGGGGCTGAGTGGACAGTGACCCTTGGCTCAGGATCCACAGACAGGCGCAGTAGCCAATTAAGATGTAATCATGTATACTTGGGTGCACACACACCTCACCTCCATGCACTGAGACCTGCATGGAAATACTACAGTGACATCCGGAGAGGATGACGGGACACATCTAGGGAACATGCCTGCCTCATAAGCCATGTACTTAACTGAACTGGAACTGAGTAGAGAGGACTTGGGTATTCTTTGTGGACCAGGCTGGATTCATAGGACCAAGATACCTCCTCACTTAGAAGGGAGGGGACGATTGTGGAAGGACCTGGTGGCTTTGTCCTGTCTATTTGGTACAGCTGAACATCATAGGAAGAGACAACCTGGCATTCCTTGAGGGACAGAGGGACACTACACTCAGACAGGATCTCCCACATAGCTGGCTTACATCAAGGAAGGTCTGAGAAGGCACAATCATCCCAGCAACTGGACCTGTGTTGCAAAGGGACCCACTGAGCAGGTGGGGAAGCCAGAGGGCCTCCTGCAGCCAGAGAGATACCAAGGGTAGGGAACGAGGGACCCACTCATGCCCACTGCCATCTCATATGGCTCAGGGGAAAATGTCCTCCCCTGCACCTGGGGTATCAGAACAACTGGTAGAATGGAGGCTGACTGCTGCTGTGCTGCAAGCTGGTCAGTGGTGGACTATCAGCTAACAGATACTGTGAGCCTCCAGTGTACAAGCCAGGGACTAGTCACCCTTCCATGAACACTTCCAAAGGAGACTGGCCAGTGTGCAATACATGGGCAGTTTCAGAACAAATTTGAAAGAGATGGATATACCTGTCGATTTGCCAGAGAAATCCCAACAGTCTCAAAAAACTGCTCAACGTAGGAGATGATGGCACCAAACACAGTGGGACTTCTTGGGCCACCAGCTTCCTGCAAGAAGACGGATGTGGGGTCAGTGTTTCTGCTTTGGCTTCCGTGGGCTCTTTCACACCATGGCAGTACCTCGCACATCCAGGTCTTGTGGGTTAAGCACGGCCATGGGTACAGTGCCTGGGGCACAGTAGAGGGAAGGTCATGGGAACTGTGGCCTCAGATTTGGAGTAGAAAACAAGGGAATCCTGGAAAGTGTGGTGTTTGTCAACTAACTCAGAGACCCGTATGAGCCAAACCTCATTCTTGGAATGGCAGGTGCCAGCCTGGTCCCTAATCAGCTTGTATTCTTCCCCCTAGAAGAGCCCCCAGAGGTGGCCAGATGGTGTGGGATTCACAGGAAGTGATTCCTGGAAGTGAAGGCTGAGGGCAGGCTTCAAGAACTCCGGGAGCACCCACAGCCAGCTTCCCTGAGTATGGTTGGTGTGGCCCACTGGTTGCCTTCATTGTGTGTAATGTCAGCCTGAACACCCTGGGACTGAATGCTCAGCCCCTTGGTGACCATGCAGGGGACTAAGAAGAAAGGTACTATGGCTGTGTGGTGCCTTGTAGCATTCTTCATAGACATGGAGCCCCTAGTCACTTGTCAAGACACACTGCCCACCTCTGGTGCCGACAGTGCCACTCAAGAATTCAAAACTACATGGCCACCTGATGCCATCCCCCACAATGCTGGATCCCCCTGGACCAGCTTCAGCAGGTGGCCTGAGATCCATCTGGGTGGCACCTGAGTCCGGGTCCCAGCACAGCTTCCCACTGTTTGGAAGTTTTCCATATAGAGAGGGGAGGTGATGGGCCCTGGGAATTGAACTCAGGACCTTGTATGTATTAGGCACACACTTCACCATTGAGTTACATATCTAGTCAGACTTCCTGTTTCAACAAACACACCAGGAAGGCCTCTCAACACTCACAGTGGCAGCCATGTGACACAACCATCTGCAAATTAGGAGTATAGAGCTGATGCATCTTCTGCCCGTGGTCTGTGTTTACTACTGAATGAGGGGACCCAAATGTGTAGCAAGTTGAGCCTGTGAAGTCTCACAGGAGGGAGGGCTTACTGGGAGCTGCCCCGAGGCTGCCAGCTTTGAGAGAAGTCTAGATGGTTAATGGAGTCAGTGCCCATTGTTTCCCTAGGACTAGCCCCCACTCCACCCCCCACATCTGTAGCATTCTTCAAGTTACCTTCGAGACTGCTCTAAGCTCTCTGTTCCCATGGTGCACAAGGTCCAGGAGGGCATTCACTGCCCTCGGCGTGTCAAAGTCATTGGCTAGCGCAGCCCTCACAGCCTTCTTGGTGCTGGCCAGCCTGGAGTGAGAGATACGGGCATCAACTATGATGATGAGGCAGGTAAGGGGCTCTCCAGCAGCCCTCTTTTGCGCTAGGCTGGCCTGTCAACCAACCCTAAATACACAAACATCCCAAGAAGTAAAAATATTTTAACTCGGAGATCCTTCCTGGGTCACATTCACTGTTTTGTAACAGAATCTGCGTCACCACCTTAGCCAAATAAAAAAATTGTGAAGAGAACCTACCCACTTGTTGAGAGCACAGCGTCCACTTGAGTGACTGTGTAATAAACAGTCAACTATACATGTGACAGTGGCTTTGTTGTAATAGTCAACTATATATGTGACAGCCCCTTCCTACCAAGTGTGGTGAGTGTGAGCCACTGGAACACGATGCCCAACTCTAGATGAACACAGTCTGTGCAGGGCTCAGGGGTGGAAGAAGTGGGAATGACTAGATGCCAACTCCTGAGGGGCTGACAGCCAGCAGGAGGGGAGGTGGCCTCATCCAGGTACTCCTGGTGGCCTCTGTGACAACAAGAAGGTAAGCTGCTCACCTCTCCCACAGCACATCTTCCGCAACAGGGCCACAAGTCAGCTGCCCTTTTACATAGGCTCGTGCATCCTCCACAAATGAGGTCAGCCCCAGCAGGAGGTGCTTAGCTTCCAACAAGGTACTGTCACTGTATTCAATGGCTGCCGAGAAAGAGACTGTCACTGAAGAAATGCCCAGGG